ATCAAACTTAGACACTGAAAATCGGCTATAAAAGTAGGTCAGAAACACTTGAAAAACAACATTTAACTTACAACATGGATCGGGCACACTCGTTGAAAATGCGATCTACAAACACGAACATTATATTCTCTTTTCTCTCTTAAAATATGTAATTTTCTCAAAGTTACCCTTTTGCACACAAATTGCTGAGAAGCAATTTTGCTCACTTAGAGTAAAGAACAGTAAAAGAATCAAAATAGCAAACAGATTGAAAGAAAACCCTTGGAAAATGATCGTGATGAGTACAAACTTCGCATGTACTCAAAGCTGTTGGCGAATCTGTTGAATTTCTTGGCGGAGAGACTTGACCTCTTTCATCAGCTCTGCTTGGTTCTCCAAAATGGTAGTCAATAGAGTTGATGTTTCCATCTGTGTAATAAAGGTCTCCATTGAATGAGTCTCAAGAAATGAAAACATGAAAGCATAAAGCATAACCAAGGGTGAAGTTAGTAGATACCGATTGCATGTGGGATTGTCTTATGATCTCGATATGGAGGTTCCTCACATCTTCGTGACTTGATTTCTGAAATGAATCGAGTGTTTCTTCGAGAGTACGTTGAAAGAGCTGAACTGTGAAGTTGCTCCCTTGCTGAGGATCTGACTGAAGGGCCTTCTGGGGCTGCAAATTTCCTCCCTATCACAGTATGAAAATAGTGAACCATTAATTATAACATGATGAAAGCATTAGAACTGAGGATTAAACAATATGCACAAATCCACCTTCATGGATGCATTTGCCATTTTGCAGTTTGAATGACAATACAGAACATCTGAAGTGTCGACACAGGTTTGACCAGTGTCTTGTTCCAAAGCACTACAGCAAAGGCATCCATGACAAGTCACAACAGAAGATGCAATGCCAATATTAATTTAATCTCTTGGGAAAAAAAGAAATACTTATTTAACCAAACTAGTTTTTTCTCACATTCATAGCAGAAAATGCTCCGGTTTCTGTTGCAGCTGAAGTGTCAGACCTCGACAAAAAGCTATTCAAAAGTTCTTTACTGGTTTCAGCCCCAGTTTTCTTTGTTTTTGGTGAGGCCACCAAATTGGATGTGCCATCGCTGAAGGCAGAAGTAGTGCTAATTCTCTCAGCAAAATTGGAAAATCTCCGATTTAGAGAAGCCAGTCTAGGTGAGTCAAGGTTAGCTGCTCCCATGGCGCCCTTTGTACCAAGTGAAAAAGACATGGAACTAGAGAAGTGCTCAGGACGTCCTAATGAAGTCTCCTGATTTGCAGAGACATCTTTGGCTCGGAAGTTTTCATAGCTTAAGTTTGAACTTGTCAATGAGCTCATACTCATCTGACTCAGTGCTGATGACAGATCTTGTGTTCCAGAAAACATTGAACTTGATGTCAACCCACCAGAAGTTGACACTCCCAAACGGGATGGCTGATGACGAAGGCCACCCCAAGCTTCAGGAGGAGTGATGGAGTCTTCATTCTTTGAAGATGGAGCAGGAGTAGAACCTAATGTTGTAAATGATGATCGGGTATCGTCCTGCACAAAATGGTGCAAAAAGAAACATCACACTTAGGCAGGAAGATTTAGAACGTTTCATCAACTTCATTAAGACCAAATTGACCAAACAAATTATTCATGACCAATAGAATGTGAGACAACAGCCTGAAAGTCACATGCATAATACCCACCATAATAATTAACCAAAGAATAAAGTTGGAAAAGGAAAGCTCAGTGCAACTTTTTAGATGACTGAATATTTATCTCATTCTCAGAACTAGTTGACCTACGTCAGCATTATTCACTACTCAGTAACAACTGAATTATTTAGTGATTGATTAACTCAAAAAAGCCGCAAATGCACAAGACAATGTACAAATCGATATTGCAATTTTCAGTCAGTAAGGATTTATTAACATAACAATCAGTCCACATCATGGCTTCATGACCTCTAAGATTCAGCTTATTGTTGCATGAAGCAAGATGGAATAAGCAGCTCAAGCATTGCAGTTATGGTCTAAAATTGTGGTTGAAGAAGTACCAAACCTGTGTAGATGCTGAACTAGATTTCCAATCAGATATTGGATGATCACTAGCCCCATCCTCTGCATGGAACCTTCTACTAGCTGAAGGAAAAAACACTGATGAAGGTTTTTTATCAAAGGCTAGATGATCTTTCTTTGCTCCTTCATTATCATCCCACAGAGAGGGTGTAATTGGCTCAACATTCACTATAGGGGAAAACACATCCATATCATCCTTGAAATTGTAAGAAGTACGAGGAGGTTGTAATCTTCCAAGTTTTCCACCCAAAAATATATGATTTCGCTGTGGTGTTTCCTCAATATCAGATGAATTAAAAATGCTTGAAGATCCAGTACCACTGGTTGTAAGAGAAGACAATTCAGCAGAAGCTGACCGACCACTGAGACGAGAACTGGATATTGCTGCAGACAGTGGAAGGCTAGATGATGTCAGGGAGGGGAGAGGATCTGGCATAAGAATTGAGTCTTCAACAGCACCTCCTAAAAGAGCAGTCTCAGCAGTGCAAGTGCTCTCATTAACAATTACTGGTTTTGATCTTTGCCAACATAAACTTGTGACAGCCTGCCAAATACCGTGAATACTTAGTGTTGAAAAAATACATCATAGAAATCAAGTTAATTTTCAAATTCATGACATGTGGTAAGAAACCAGACAATCATACGAAACTCTAGGCATATACAAACAAGGGAGACTTCCCACAAGACAAAAAATGTGCCCTACATCACAGATAATCATTTTAAAAAACAATTTTATATGCAAGTGTTGAATCAGATTGTCCACCATATTAGCCAATTTATTTTCTTCACAACCAGCTACAAAAAATCATTCATCAACCAGTTTCTTCAGAATCATCTCATTCTCTATTAAATGAAATTTCTAGAGTTGGAAACTACAAATTTCTCATGGATAAACTGAAATTAATACATAGTGGAAAAGAGATCACCTCTGAACTACTGTAGGCACGTAGCACAGTAAAAGGCTGTAATTTCCCACGTACATCATAAAACACTACTCTACCATTACTGGTCCCAGCTGCCAGTGTCCAACCATCATCTCTAAATGCCAAAGAAGAGAAAGGTGCCTCATAAGAACTGAAAGCTGCAGGTCTTCTAGACCCAGAGTCATAAGTGTACAACTTTTTGTCCAGTCCAACACTTGCAATCATCTGTCAAGATATTTAAAAGCATTTCAGATATAACATTTTTAACTCACTGCCCAAGGTGTCCTACCCTAAAAACAGCTTCCTTGTTCCTAAGCTTCCAAAGAGTTCAGCTGTTTTGATTATATACATCCTAAAGAAAAATAGGAAGAGAAAATTTGACCTTATCATTGGATGGTGACAAGCTAACACCAGCAGTTGGAGCAGAGTGTTGTTTCAACCAAGAAACCTGAAAACAGCAAACACAATCAATTTTATGACCACAACATAATGTACAATCCAGAAATATATTAAAGGAATACTAGATAGATGGGAGAGGACAAAACAAAAGCAATGATTCTGCAATGTATATTTAGCCACATTTGATAGTGACCAAAAGGCAGAGATTCTTACCAACAAATTCTTTCACATGAAAGTCATACTTGTTGAAAAATATAAAAAACAAATGAAATAAAAAAGGCCAAAACAATGGAAAAGGCTTTGCCTTTTCATCTTGCAAAGTACTTCTTGAAAAATAGTATCACCTACCACCAACCACACTTACCTAAGCCATCCATTAATTTAACGTTAACCGTGTGCACAAAAGCAACCAGTTAGTTTCATGGCAAAATTTGGAATTACATTCTGTCAGCAATACAGCCCCAGTATGCCCTAATTTATGTAGAAACACATCCTCTAAATATTAAAATCAAGATGTAACAAGTTCCTTTTCATAATCTAGATTGTTAATCCACACTCATGATCATGAGAGAGAGAGAGAGAACCTTTGGGCTACGGCCAGTGGTATCCCATAAATGTACAGTTCCATCATCACCTGCAGTCACCAAAAGATGCCGACTAATCCGTGAATAATCAAGCACCCTCAGTACCTGGTCTTAACATCCAACAAAGGGGCAATTAGCTTGCAAATTGGAATCATAAACTACAAACACAATTAAAGGCAACATTGATATGTAAAAAATAAATAAACAACCTGTTCATTAGGGTCCTTGAGCTCAGCAGCCTTTGCTCCAGATGCAAGGTTGTGAAGAATGAGATCCCCACTGAGACTGATGGAAGCTAAGTGTTCATCCTTGGAATTGTACATTGCACCTGTTATTGTATCCGTATGACCCCTCAACCATTTGATGCAACGCTTCCTCTGCAAATCCCATATTCTTACAACTTGACCACTTCCCCCAGAACATATGTATCTGGATCCCTTGTTGCTAAAGCTGATAGCCAACATAGTTTCCTGCAAATTAATTTAAAACCAATGGAAGAACACAATGCCATAAGCCCATAATTACAACAGTCTTACCCTCTTCAGCTTCATTATTACTGCACATATGGAATTAAGGACTTAAAAGGTTACTAAACCTAATAAAGAAAAATCACCTCAATACCGTCACCACTATCGGTCCCAGTAACTGGAACAGTCCCCATGCTCTGTCCATTTTTCCGCCACAGTGAAATCTTCTTATCTTCGCCAGCACTTGCAACCACTAAATCTGCACAATATTCCCTCAATTTGAACATCATCGAAAATCATCTAAAAAAAGACTGACAAACTTAATCTATTTTGAAATCTTATTCAAAATTAGGTAAAAAAATCAGCACTCAACTCTAGAATTACGCTCTGAAAAAGAAGATTCAACACTTCAGGATCTGATTTCTCGCCTTTAGCTCCAATAAAACGAGGCAGAAACTAAATTTAACGAAAAAAGAAAGAATAGTGAGTGACTTACTAGTGTGATTCCACTTGACTGAGTTAACTAGGCAACCGGGAGAAGGCGTGTAGCTCAAAACGCAGGGATCGTTAGGTTCGAGCTTAATATCGAAAAGCTTGACGGTGTCGCCGCCGCTCGCAGCGATTAACCACGGCGACGGATCTCCGTGGCTCATTATGTTGCTCGGGTGAAGGAAAGCTTTTTTTTTTTTTTTTTTTTTCTCCCAAGAAAATGGATTAGGATCAAATCTGGATAAAATTTTATGAGAAATAAATTTAAGCGACCTGTATTCGGTAGTTAGCAGGGAAATGTAAACCCTACGGGAAAGAGCAAAAATTCAAATCAGATTTTTTGTTTTGAAAATTGAGTGGCGCCTTTATAAAAACAATTTTTTTCAACTTTTTAATCATTTTTTTTAGAAGGTTTTTTTAATCAGAATCTATATATTTTTTTTAACATTGTGATAGGAAGAGAGGAAGTTCGCTAGAAGAATGTTTGGATCCAGGGAAAGAGCGAAAGAAAATGGGATTTTTTTTTCTTTCCTCCCCATCTATCTTCTCTTCTTCTTCTTCTTCTTCTTTGGAATAAGTATCTTCTCATTTAAATTAGTAAATGAATTAAAAAAAATAAAATTAAAGGCTTTTTATATAGAGTTTATTTTGAGTTATTTATAAATATTTTTTTTTATAAATTTTAAATTCAATTGGAGGAAATATTTATTTTTTCCAGACATTTTTTAAACTTAAAAATAAAGAAAATGTTATAATTATAATGTTACTAATATAATATTATATAATTGACTCTTTTTATTCAAACATCTATTTGTGATATAATATAAATTTATTTAATTAATCACATCATATTTATTTAATATTATATTATAATTGTAAATTTATAATTCTACACAATATTATATCTATAATATTACTGTAAAAATAAATTGCAATTACTTTGAAAAGAATTGTTTATAAATTTTTAGACGTGAAATCCAAATTTTAAATTCAGTTGGGAGGATTTAAAACTTCATTAAGTGCTTTCTTAGGCAACACCATATCACATTTGAAAATATAAATTTATTATAAATAATTAATGTTTTATATATATTTTATGATAAAAATAAAAAACCAAAAAGCCAGCAGTCAAGGTTAGAAATATCTGATTAAAAAAGCAATTGTAATCAACAAGGAATTCTCTATAACCAAATAAAACAAGGTATTGGTTGGGCATACCCATAGATTTACGATATGTTTGAAATTGTTCTAGGGTGACGGTGGAAAAACATTTTATGAGATTCCCAAAAAAATAAGGGAAAAAAAAAATAAAGAATAGAAGACAAGAAAAGAAAATTATTAGTGGATTCATTCAACATAATGACTCAAATAATAGGCCTCTGACTTGCAATCAACCAATGGTATCTGAAGGCACCTAAATCCAACAAGCACAATCAATTCACAGTTTGGGATATAGAAGAACCACGGCAGTAGGAAAGGTTAATGCGGCCATTTATAGGCTCTAACAACCCAAAGCACACCTATGAGTTGCAGGACCAAATATATGTACACAGTACACATGCACCGCAGATTAACTACCATAAAGAAAAGATAAACATCACAGGGGTGACATAATTGGGAGAAAAAAAAAAAAAAAAAACTTCTGCCTTATCCTACACTATGCAGCACTTGTGCCCCAATCTGGCTTGTAAAGCTTTTCCGGTACCAATAATATGAAGTATCAAATTAAATCCACAAGCCCAGCACCAGTTTAGACCAATTTCTAGGGCAAAAATTTTATGAATATCTGCATTGAGAAAAACAGAAAAAGGGCTAGCTTGTCAACATATCACAATAAAACATGCAAAGGAGGACACTTTGGAATTTAAATGCATACCAAAGACACTGACTTGATGTATGCATGTTGCATAAATCAACCTATTATCAACATCTAGAGTAAACACATGATTCAAGACTCCATGAGGATGATTATGTTTGACATAGTTTGAAGGAGATATTTAAATTTACACTAACCAACAACAAGTATTACAATCAAAATTGAAGGATAAAAAGGTAGGCAGTGAAACACTGGTGGGGATACCATAATTGGTATCAATAAGCAGTTCTTTTGTGCATTTCACTACTTTAATATGAATCAGTGAACCTTCAACCTGATTCTTCTCTCTTTTTTCCCCCTAAAATGTGAGAGAAACAGTACTGTCACCAAGCCTGAATATTTAGTTGGTGAGAATAGAAAAACTAAACCAATCTTGCCAGAGTCTTTAATCAAATCATTCCTACAATTGTGTGAATGTGTTTCCTAGAGACAGGAAGTTCCTTTCATGGTGGAGAAAAATTGTATGAATCTCCCAAATATCTTGTCAACTCACGTAACAAAAGATAGAAAGAGAAGCAAGTAACCAAGTGAGATGCACACACAGAAAAAAAGAGAAAAAAAAAAAATCTAGTGAAAGGATGTATAAAACAACTTTATTCAGCTGACCTTACTGAAGATGGGCAACCCATGCTACTGCAACCCTTACATTTTTGTTGACATGAACTTAGCCTTTTTCTCTGCTGGCCTAAGAATCTGGAAGGAACACATCAGGTTTTCATCAACGCTCATCATTGCACCAGCATTATCAAATTCTCCACAATAGTTGGGAGCTGAAAATATTGTAACAAGTTGTCTGTTGGCAAAAAATTCATATCCATCCTCCACAACCTACATCATATTAATTCACTTAGAATTAAGAGTGAGTAGCATTTAATAACATAACAAGAAAACCAGAGGGGTGGGTCAATAACCTGATGGGCACGACACACGAGGTCTAAATCATGCTTTTCTAAGAATTCTGACACCTTATCTGGGCCAAAAGTGTAGGAAACCCCTCTGTCATTCATTCCCCATCCTTTAACATCCCTGCTAGGATCAGACCAGAGCAAATCACATAACAAACCAGTGTCAGGAACAGGAGTTGGACGGGGCAAATTTCTAATTTGTTCCAAGTTTGTCAAGTCAGGAGAAAGACCACCATGCATGCACAATATTTTTTCATCTATAACAGCCGCCACAGGAAGGCAGTTAAAACAGTCAGTAAACACTTTCCAAAGTCTCACATTAAATCGTCGTTTGCATTCGTCATAAAACCCATATATCCGATTAATAGAAGCACATTCATGGTTTCCTCTTAGTAGGAAAAAATTCTCTGGATACTTAATTTTATAAGCAAGCAGAAGACATATTGTTTCCAAACTCTGCTTGCCCCGGTCCACATAGTCCCCCAGAAACAGATAATTAGCATTGGGAGGAAAACCACCATACTCAAAAAGCCTCAATAAATCACTATATTGGCCATGTATGTCACCTGAAAACAAGGGGAAAAAAATATACTGTTAGTTAAGATAAACACAAGGCAATGATGGTACTCAATTTAATTAAGCTGATCGCCCCTTATTCCACAGAGACAAAATAAGAACATGCTTTGCAGTAAATAAACCTGGGAATCAACTTCTTAAACTTGTCTTTGATCATTTGGAAATTAGAAGGTCATCATACCACAAAGGATTGGAATGATTTTCAATAATTTCAAAGTGGGAGTTCAAGCACCTACGGAGAACCATTCTTTGGGCTTTTACTAAAGAATTCAACCACTGTAATAGTACCCAGGTACAGCACTCATGGGGGTCCTCACTCTTCACTAAGCTTAAGAATAATAATTGGAAACTTCTGCCACGTTCATGGGGTGGAAACAACAGTATAGCAGAATCAAGAAGTTAAACCCACTTGTTAGAGAATCATATTCTCCAAATATATTACTCATATGCAAAGCATCCCACACGACCACAACTCTATATAGCGTAAGTATTTTCTTCATCACGGACAAGAATCACCACATAAGCCTCTCTATACAGGTTTTCCCAAATAAACCCACAGGAATAATCACATGAAAACCTTAAAACAACAGAAAAGGGGAAAATCCCATTAACGGAGCCAGAGTCTTAGCAAATCCCTAAACATCGATAAACACAAAGTGTATTTTGGAGGAGACTTACCGCAAATCTTGATGGGTGCTTCGAGTTCGAGCAAAGCGGGCTGTTCAAGGAAGATATCTCTAGAAGCATCACAAAGCTGCTTGATCTCAGCCTCAGATAGTTGCACCTGCTTCCCCGGCCTGGCTGATCGGACCTCATTAAGACGTCGTATTATGTCATCCAGTACGGCGTGGTCCATACCTGCCTGCCCTTGTGCTGCCATTAGATCCTCCCTCAAGGAGCCCAATTCGACAAAACCCTAGAAATCTATGAACAGAAAAGAGTCAAATGACTTCTCTTTTTCGTTACTTTTCCTTTTGGTGGGTTTTGGAATATCCGTTTTTTCTTTCGGTGGGTTTCTCTTTAGTGGCCGTCTGGGTGGTAATATTAAAAAATAGTTATTTATTTTGAGAT